ATCACTATGAAGGAAGAAGGAACATAAAGAGGAGAAATGCATAGATTACCCTTTTTAAAATAAATTTTATAAACCATATTTAATGACCAGGCACCGTGGCTCACACCTGTAATCCCAGCACTTTGGGAGGCTGAGGCGGGCGGATCAAGAGGTCAGGAGATTGAGACCATCCTGGCTAACATGGTGAAACCCCATCTTTACTAAAAATACAAAAAGATTAGCCGGGCATGGTGGCGGGTGCCTGTAGTCCCAGCTACTCAGGAGGCTGAGGCAGGAGAATGATGTGAAACTGGGAGGCGGAGCTTGCAGTGAGCTGAGATTGTGCCACTGCACTCCAGCCTCCATCTCAAAAAAAAAAAAAAAAGAATACAGTGAGAGAGATTACTCTATTCAATATTATTGTTACAGTAATCAGGATAATGTGGTGTGGGTAAGGAGATACACACACAGATCAATGGAACAGAAAAGAGAATCTAGAGATACACCCACAAAAATACGCTCAACGGACTTGTGATAAAGGTGCCAAAGCAATTTAGGGAAAAAAAAAACATGCATCAGCAAAACATTGAGCCTCAACCTAAACATCACCATATACAAAATATAAAGTCTATACAGAAATAAACTCTAAAGTTATGGAGATGAGTTTGGGATTGAATGTAAAATTATGAACTACAAGACTTTTAGAAAACAATGGAGAAACTCTGCAGAATACAAGGCTAGGCAAAAATTGTTGGAGCTGACACCAGAACCATGATACAGAAAATTGATACAGAAAAAATGTATGTTGAACTTCATCAAAATTGAAAATTTTTGCTTTGTGAAAGACTTTGCTTAAAGGATGAAAAGACAAGATATGCACTGTCTTTGCACACAACGTGTTCAGTAAAGGACTGTTATCTATAGTTTATAAAAGAATTTCAAAACTCTACAGTAAAAAACAAATAAACAATCCATTTAGAAAGTAAGCAAAAGACATGATTAGACATTTCATCGAAGAAGATATATAGATAGCAAATGAGTACATGAAAAGATGTTCAACATCATTAGCCATTGGGGAAATGCAAATTAAAACCACAGTGAGATATCACTACACATCCATCAAAATGGCTACAATTAAAAAACGGTGACAAAATATAAAGTTCATACAGACCAACACCAGTGCTGGCAACGAGCTGGAGAAACTAGCTATCTCGTGCGTTGCTGGTGGAAATGTAAAACAGTATAGCCACCCTAGAAAACAGTTCAGCAGTTTCTTATAAAATTAAGCGTGCAATCAACACACAACCTAGCAATTGCACTCTTAGACATTTATCTCAGAGAAATGAAAATGTGTTCACACGGAAACCTGTACACACATGTTCACAGCAGCCTTATGCATGACAGACAAAAACTGGAATCAATCAACCCAGATTTCCTTCAACAGATGAGTGGATAAACAAGCTGGTACATTTATAACAAGGAATTCCACTGAACACTACAAAGCAGTGAATTCGGCCCGGCCAAGTGCAGTGGCTCACACCTGTAATCCCAGCTACTCAGGAGGCTGAGGCAGCACAATCGCTTGAACCCGGGAGG